ACACTGACTGAGAAGCTGTACCTCTGACAGTCCACTTTGGAAACGCATGAAGCATACACCTGGACCACTCCAAAGATCATTATTTGGCCATACAACCTCTGTAATCAGGACCAGGTCAACCAACAAGTTTGCAAAGACAATGGTGTCATCTTGTAAATTAGCCATTCAGATACATAACCAAGGACCCCTCCCACCATGGCGTATTATTAGAAGAGAAGACAGATGTGTATGCTTTGTAGCGAGCGACTGCTGCCTGTTGAAGAAATGATGTCAGCGCTGCCCTGGTGCAGCTCATGAATCAGAGCCATGAAAATTCATTCATATTGCAGGTGTTTGTGGCTGCTTATGACTTCCTTCTTGACAATAATACTGTTTTTATCTGTTTCTGTATAACTTCTTACTTATTTTTGTTTACCATACAAAACTTGTTTCATTGAGACAATTTATAAACACATTTCACAATCCTTTCTTCTTATTCTCCTCATCTCTGTCCTTTCTGTTCCTCCCTCAGCATGTTCCATGTTGTCTTCTTCCACCCAAATGGACTATTACACATTTACAGATTTCTTTTTGCATTGTCCATAGAAAAAAAAATTGAAGAAAATAGGACCAGGCTTCCCACAAGCTAATCCTACAAATACTTTATAATAAGTGTTCTCAGATATCATCCATTTTTTTAGGTTATTAGATTTTCCTGTTGTTCTTTGTTGTGAGATCATTGGATTTATCAGAATTGAAGATGCACTAACTAAGCAAACCATTACAAAATTACAAAGTTTTAGAACAGAATGAAACCATATCTATTCACTTACCTTTTGCTGGAAAGAGATAGCCACATGAGCATGCCCTATCATATTCAGAGACAATTAACTTTCAAGATGGTTTAATGATTGTTACCTGGAGATTGAAGATTTGATCTGATAGCAGACTTATTTTCAGTGCCCTAATGTCAGAATCATCTGGAAACATACCAGGAATTTACAGTGGGCCAGAGAACTTTGCATGATTTTCTCAGGAAGTTCTGACCTATGCCCATGTTTTCAATCCTCTGTTGTTTAGTACGGTTTAAATATATGGATGTTATGACTTTTTCATGTGATTGTTTCTAAAAATTCTCAAGTGGAAGTCACCAAATCAGAACATAATAGTCATTTTATTTACTTTTATATAATAGTTTTACTATTTTCTTTTATAGTATCCTTATATTTACTTTCATATAATAGTCATACTATTTACTTTTATAGTATGCAATTTGAAAACAACTATGGGTGGACTAGAAAACTGTCTTCAGAGCTACAGATTTCCTTCTTGTTCTCAGAATTGTTTGAAATTGTGATGAAATTCATTAATTACTTTTCAAATATTTTCCATTTGCTATAACAGCTTTTTTACCAATCTAAAATGCATAAAAGTAAACTTCAGTTTACTTCAACATACATTGGTTCCAGCATAAGGGTCACTGAAATATTTTTAAACTATATAAGAATTGTTTTTTAATATAGTATGACCCAAGCAGAGGCATACTTGAAGGAAATGAATATGCAAATAAAGGTTAAGTGCACAACTGTGAAAATGGGAAACATCTTGGGAAAGAGTCCAGACACAGGGAATTGATATAAAGGGAAATTAATCTGACACTAAGTTTTGTGTATGAATGGGACCTAGTGAAAGGAATCAAGACAGAAAGAAAAATAATGAGACTTAGAAGACAAAGAATTCCCATTAGAATTTATAATACACATAAAGTGTATGTCATTTTTATATTATCAAGGGTTGGAGAAAATGAATGGCTGATCCATAGAAAATTTGAAACATTAACATATTTTACAACTTTCTACTATACTATTTTGTCAATTTATTTTTCTGAGTTCATTGCAATTTGAAAATTAAAGGAAATATAGTGACATTAGTGCTATCAGTCATGATCTATATCTTTGTGTCCAAGGAATAAAAATGTATCCATACATAAAGTACTGAATAAAGATATAGGTGAGGCTAAGAATGCTGCTTAGAGGTGAGACATTTGCCAAGCATGCACAATCTCACAAAGAGTGACAGGAAGGTATTTGTACACCTCACTATGGTCCAGAAATAGCAGAGCAGTGGCCTCTAATTGTAACACCATGAGACTAAATAGATCCCTTCTTAAAAATAGTCTGAATAGCACAGATATAAAGGAAATTATTTCATGTCCTGAAAAGATTGCTCAGTTGGTGAGTGTAAATGTCTTCCTATACCTCAAACAGTCCTGGCATTTAGTAAGCTCAGGCTGGGAGAGTTCTAACCCTAAGCTGGAGAAAGAGAAGGGGGGAGAGGGAGGGAGGGAGGGGGAAAACTGTCAGAATTATTTAGTTTCTTTCTGTGTCTGTGTATGTATGTGTGTTTATGCAAATGTGTGTGCCTGTACATATGTGCTCACATAGGTGCAAATGTCAGAGAAGAATCTTGGGTTTCATCTCTGGGGTGATTTTTACTGTCTATTTGAGATGCAATACTTGGCTGAGCTAGAAATTCATTAAGTGGACTGTAATAGACAGACCTCAAGTATCCAGGATCTCTGTTTCTACTTCCCATCACCCCCACCATCAAATTACAGATGCTCACTATTATATCCAAGTTTTCAAAATGGGTTCTCAGTTCATCACGGTTTGAATCAAGCACGTTATGATAGAGCCATATTCACATCCCTAAAGTGGTTTCTCGTTGCTTCTCTGGCTAATTAGTAAGTAAACAGAGCTTTCCTCGTGCCTCCTTTTCTGTGGCTCAGTTCAGCTTTTGTTCTCCATCTGTCCCTCTTTTTCAAGTCTTTAAAATATCTTCTACTGAAAATTCAGGACAGATTTTCTGAATCTTCTTCCTGTCTGAAACCATTATTTCAACGTTCTTTAGTAGTTCTCTCTGTCTAGAAAAAGGACATTCTCCTATAATGCAAGATCTACAGAACCTATTGTGGACTGACTCTCTCTCTACTCCACAGTTCTCCTGTTTTACTTTGCTACCAACACCGGTAGTGTTTCCTGCTGTCAGCTACATACATGAGTGGCTTTTCAATGATCCCCAGTGTATTGCCATGAATGTCAGTGCACAACGCCAAGTGGTACAAAAATAAAGGTATTTAGGAACACAAGAGTAGAACTATCCAACCAAGAAATTTTCTATCCTATTTTTAGTGAATAATAACGTAAGAGGTTGTGTCAGTTTATACTAAAATAAGAATGTATTTGTTGACATTCTTCATATGGCTTTGATATTCTAGTTTTTAGGTTTATCCTTTGAGTTGCTAATATTGATGATGAATGAATGGGTGATTTCATGCATGTTGGGCTCCGAATGCTTTGCCATTCATATATTTTTGAAAATAGTTATAGGTTTTAAGAGCCCTTTGTATTTAGTTCAATCATAGAAAAAAAAGTCTTAATATTTGAGTTTGTTCACATTTGCAAGACTTATTATGAATCATTTTATAACTCTCTCTACAACAAAGTTCAAAAGTTTCTGATAAAATTGTTTAACCTAAATCCTTCTAAATCTACCAGACGTTTATCTTTATGGTTGCAAGAAAAATGCACCTTCACCAACTCTGATTCTTTCACGTAAACAAAAAAAAGAAAGAGAACATTCATGAAAGTTACAATAAAGGCCATTCAGGTCTGCAGGATGTGAGGAGGAAGGGTTTTATCAAGTGGCACATCACAGAAATAATGAGGCGTTGAGGATGTTTCCCAACTATGCCATCTTGAGAACTTATGTAATAGCCAATTTTATACTTGACAAATATCAGAGTTAACTGTAAAAATAGATAACATATTTTGAGGAAAGGTCATCCAAAACCCACAATCACACAAATATTTATTGGAACACTAAGGGAAAAGAGAGATGATTCCCTTTGCACCAGGAAACCTAAAGGCTTCATATTTGGTGGCAGTGAGTATGTGCTCTGGGGTTTTAAACTGAACCAATTTCAATTCATAAGTATGTATTCATGATGAATGTATTCAGAAGTGAAGTTTATTCTATCTTTAAGACAGTAGGTTTTTAATTAAAATGTATTTGCCTTATTTTATTGTGTAGAAGATATTTTACTAAAATGTATCTTTGTTTTAGATGAGATAAAGTCTATCTCTTCTTGTTGTTCTCAATGTTAAGGAATTAAGAAAAAGGAACAGAAGAAAATATTCCAAACTGTGTTTGTTTTAGGGCAGAAAGTCGGGGTACAGAGAGTGATCTGTCACTGGGCTCTGTCTCTTCATTTGATTTCTTAAAATGTGTGACATTACATCATTGTTCACAGAATGATAGTTTAGCAAGAATCTCTACAGAAGGTTGCAAGGGGAGATCGAAAATAATGTACATTTTTATTACCAGCACTTGTGCTTCTGAAACCATATGCTTTTTTGTAAATTCTAAAACTATGAATATGGTGTTTGTAGTGTTATCAAAACAAGCAAACCCCAGCATGGCAATGGTGACAAACAAAGTCCCCCCACTTCTCATGTGTACTAGTTTTGAGCGTGGCCACTGTCTTTCTCTCTAAACCTTGCATTGTTTTTTTTTGTTTTGTTTTTATTCCTCGCATCCTTACTCTTTAAACTGTAAAAGGCTCTTGGATTAAGTTATCTAACAGTTCTGAATGAAAAATTCCAACACTAATCTTCATAATTTAGGCCAACTAACAGAACTTCCTGTGAGGATTTCGCAGAAAGCATAATGGCATAAATTTATGTAAATTTAATGAAAGGTGAAGGGAGAAGTGGGTGGCTATTATGAATAGTAGTCAAATAGATTCTATGCAAAGCCTTCCTATTCAATAACCTATAATTACTTTTAAAACCATCCATCCTGTTCTTTCTTACATATGAAGTTATTTCTAAGAGTCTTATTAGAACACGTGGCCAACTTTAAGGAAGGTGATGTGTGCACATAATGTATATCCAAAAACCCGAGTTCACTCTGAGATATTTATTACATCTTGCTAACAACCATCTCCCAGCAGGTTTATCATGTGGTGTTTACTGAGAACAATTTGCCTTGTCCATATATTTGGAAGTATATTTTGCTCAATATTCGAGCCAGTACCCAGGAATCCTGAAGCCAACATGAATATTGTAAGTTATTATCATCATTAATGAACATAGTTCCAATGATTTCATCACTATCAGTTTTACTCATTACTTTCAAGCAGTCACGTTTATTATAATCTGAAGGTTCTCTTTACATAGGAATTGCTACCCTACTCCATAATGAATTTAGACTGTAAGAATTATAAACATGCCAAGATTAGCTATTAGTGAAAGTCTAAGTGTTTTCTCTTCTCCATTTAGAATGAGATAATTTCCTACTGGGGTTATGAATACGAAGAGTATGAGGTTGTGACTGAAGATGGTTATATCCTCCCAATTTACAGAATTCCACATGGGAAGAACAAGTCTAGTCATTTGGGTAAGCTCAGAGTGAGAAAAAACATTACAACTACATTAATATCCAGTCAAATGAATTCTTTGCAGAACATTCCTATTCAATTACCTATAATAAGGACCCTCAGTCCTCTGTGATGCAGATATCAAAGTTGACAGTCTAAATGACACCTACTCATGCTAATTGACATTACAGCAAGAATAAACACAAATTACATCATTAATTTAGCTTTCTGGACAGGGTACGGGCTCTGAAACCTGGTGGGAGAGATCCAGCACTTTTAAGCACATTGACTCTGTAGAAAGCTTTTGTTATTGCTGGAAGAATTCAAGATCTTCCTGAAGTAAAACACCTGTCTCACGTATTCCTCTAAAATCTCAGCCTGCAAAAGCCACGTTCAAGTTCAGGATCTTGTTGTTTTAGTTATTTGCTAAATAATCTACACATGAATCTTAGTATCTCAATACATTTGTATATGTTTTTATATTTTGCATTTTATAAGTTTGAACTCTAGTGGATGGGAATATTACTCATAAGTTTTTGAAATTAAGAGCTTCCAGTTAAGAAATTCATATTTATTCAAGGGGTAGAAAGACAAAAATGAGACCCAACAGGTGTGATGATTATTTGACTAAAGAATGTGGAGGTATATTTATGACTATAACATAAATGCAATGATCCATAACACATCTTTTGTGGATAGCAGTGTATAATGTGACTCAAATTCATGTTGTTAAACATAATGTGACTCAAATTCATGTTATTAAATATTTCCCAAGAAGGACACAAGGAGTCAAAGAGATGATAATGGAGGATGTAAAATGGGCTAAAATTACAATACTTACGTGTAAAATGTTGACAATAAGTCCCATTGTTGTGATGGAGCTTAAATAAATTATAGATAACAGAGATTTGCTCTCTTTGATATTTAGTTCCAAAGCCAGTCGTGTACCTGCAGCATGGGTGGACTGTATCTGCTTCCATTTGGCTTGCAAATCCTCCCAACAGCAGCCTGGGCTTCATTCTGGCTGATGCCGGTTTTGATGTGTGGATGGGGAACAGCAGAGGCAACACCTATGCCAGGAAACATGTGTACCTAGACCCACATTCTAAACAATTCTGGGCTTTTAGGTAAAGAACACAAACCTTTATATTTGTTTTTCTTTAAAACTGTGTTAAACCCTTTTATGCCACCATAAATGTGTTATGCTCTGATAAAGTCATTTTACAACTACATCTTCTTATGGAACCATGTTTTAAAAGATTAATGAACAAAGTTTGCTTGGAGCTTTGTTTATAATTTTGATAAGTAATTAATAGGGAAGCAGATTATATATATTATATATGTATATTTTTTTCAACTACTAATAACTTTGCAAATTCATCTAATTCAGGAAATATAACTTCATTGAAATAAAGTGAAGATAGAGTAAGTGTTATTTTCCATGCAAAAGCTCATGAATTAGACATATAGTCCAAGTCAGGTATAGAGAAACCATGCCTTGAAGTTTAGTCTATCACTTAGTTGTCAATGTCAACTTCTTTCAAAGTACACAAACATTAGATCCTATCAAGGTGTCTGTGGGCACTGAGTGAATGGAGCCTCTGGACAGCTAACAGTGAGTAAAAGATTAGAGGTTTTTGGTTAATGCACTCTCATTATTCAGGTTTCCCTTTAAAGATACTCCTCCAGCTCATGTTTTAATATATAAAGTGTAAGCTTTAATCATTAACAAATAATTAACTCATACTGTGTTACTTTTGTGTCATGCAGTTATGATCAACACATAAAATATGATCTTCCTGCCACCATTGACTTCATTGTGAAGAAAACAGAACAGAAACAAATTTACTATGTTGGCCATTCCCAAGGCACGCTTATCGGTATGTGGGGGACTGAGATCTGATCATTTCTTATTTTTTGTCTTAAAGGCCCACAAAAATTCTTCTGGAAGGAGTTTTATATTTTGCAAATGACATTATCTCAGTATTTAGAAAGGCTTAGACTAGTCAACGATCCAGTTATGAAATTATTTGTTTAAGTAGTGAACATCCAAGCTTTTTGTTGGTGTTTAGTAGAAGGGTTTGGTATGTAGCCCAGGATGGCTTTAACCTCACAATCCTTCTGCCTTGGCTTCCTGAGTGGTGAGATTATAGGTTTGAGCCACAGCACCTGATTACTTTTTTCAAATTAACAACAGGCATAATTGATAGACTTACTTCTCTCCCTTTTAAATACTATCATTCCAAACACATAACACATTTAAATAATCTGTGTGTGTCACATATATTTGGGGTTTTCTGCAACTGAAGTTTCAAAGACTAAGTAGGCATATCTGTTTCAATGGACTTATACTGATAGTTTAATGATAAAATGACATGTAAGCACTGTTTAGGCTTTTTTTTTTTTTAAAAAAAATTGGGTTCTTTGAGCAACTAAAGTCTGAGGGCCCAGTGAGCTGCCACAAAACTTTAATTGCCTAGTACCATTTCTGTAATGATCTGAGACATGTCAATTTTGATACTAAAAATCCTTAAAACAATATGTAATGGCATTTCATTTGTATTTTAATAAACACAGCTTGCCTGAGGGTCTGGAAAGTAAAACAGCCACATTGGCCAATTTTACAGATCAGGCACCAATGACACACACCTTTAATTCCAGTAGCCACACTAGTTTGCCATAGAAACCAGGCGGTAGTGGTGCACACCTTTAATCCCAGAACTAGAGAGAATTATAAAATGGGAGGAGATAGCTCTCACTTCCAGTCTCATTCTGAGATTTCTGGAGGCAGGATTGCCAGTTTTGGATTTAGGTCCAGGTAAGAGTCAGTGGTTGGCTGACTTTTCTTGTCTTTGGGTTGAACTCCAATTTCTATCTCTGAATTTTTATTAACCATGATCAACAATAAATGTTTCCAAACGTAACTAGCTGGAAAAACATTGCTAATTAAATTGCATATCGTTCGTTTAAACATGTGGTGTTGTTACTACTTGAAAGATAAGTTGCTATCTGTTACTGACAACATATACTGTACACTAAAGAGATCTGACTTGTCCAAAGCTCAGAATTCATGAGGCAGGTTGTGTCAAGGACAGCACAGACCCTCATACATTTAGGCCCATAATTTTTTCTTGTGGGGCCATCTTTCTAGGAAATACATTACAGGATCAAATATTAATTTGATATTAGTAACCTAAATCAGTTCATTTCCCCTTGGATTATGCCAAACAACAATGTCTGTGCATATCACAAATGTTGCTGGAGTGCAAAGACATCCTTAATGAGGCAAACACCACTAAAAATGGAATGACAATTATGGTTTTATTGGCAGTCTTGTCGATAGCAAAGGGGAAAACAGAGAGATGGGGTGCCATAGATGTTCTGTGGCCACAACAGAATAAATTTCTAGAGGTCATGATAGACTGGGGGACCAAAATATGGTTGATTTCTTTTGAGACTTTTGTATCAATAGTTATTAAATATGATTATGTGCATGTGGGCATACACATAGAAACACACACACTCACACATACATATCAGAAACATACAGAAAGCCATAGAGATTGTTATGTTGCATGTAAGGGATATTTCCACTCTCACAGAAGACTGTGTGCCAAAAATAGTAAGCTTAACCTGAACTTACAGGCACTCTTTTGGAACAAAGATTATTCAAGAACCACACGCAATTGTTAAAAGTGTGACAATTGTGTGAGAACCCTTAATACATGCTAATCACTGTCAGAATGACCAGAAGAGAAAAGAAATGCTTTTTTGAGAGTGCACTGGCTACACAATACTTGGTAAACATGATTCCACCAGTATAAGTGTGCTGGTTAGCTTTTCATCAAATTTATGCGAACCTTGACATATCCCAGAGAAGGAAACTTAATTGAGGTACTTCTCTGATTAGATTGAATCTCTAGGCATGTCTATTGTTCTTTTTCTTGATTGATAATTGATACGGGGGGGGGCATCCCACTATAGGAAGTGCCCTTCCTTAGCAGTTGAGCCTGGGCAGTATGAGAAAGGTAGCTGAGCAAGTCAAAGAAAGTAAAACCTGTAGGCAGCATCCGTCTGTGATGTCTGCTTCAGTCTCCACCTCCAGGCCCCTGACTTGAACACCTTCCCGGGCTTTTGTCATGGTCCCAATCCCTTAAAAATAATAAGCTATTTTTATTTTATCACATCTTTCTTTTTATTTATTTTTATTTTTATTTTATTTCATCACAAAATCAGAAACCAAGCTAGGACAGGAACAGAACTTAATTATTAAGTACAGGAAAGGTTCATTTATCTAACTGTTGTCATTAAAAATGCACTCGGAGTCACCTAAAATCAGAATGTTTGAGAATGGGACTGCCAGAGACAGCCTTGAAATAAATGAGAAAGAACACACATTTAGGCGCAGTGGTGAGGTAGCCGAATGTCTTAAGGAGTTTAAATCAAGAGAGAACACTAAGGGCTAGAGTAATGGCTTAGGGGTTAAGAGCACAACCCACTGATTCAGAGGACCTAGGTTCAATTCTTAGTACCCACATAACATCTCACAGTCGTCTGTAACTCCCATTACAGGTGTTCCTTACATTATAGTCTGTCCTTCTCTGGCACCAAGCACTTAGCTGGGGCACAGATACACATGCAGGTGAAACACCCATACACATAAAAATGAAATACATGAAATAAAAATATAGGACACCAGTAAATTATCATCTTATTTTCTTTCAGCCTTTGGGGCATTTTCAACAAATCCACAATTGGCTCAGAAGATCAAACTCAGTTTTTTACTGGCTCCAGTTGCAACTGTTAAGTATGTGTCAGGGCCCATCCGTGCCATCACATCCTTGGGAACAACTTTGACCAAGGTTTGTAATACTTACTAGCATGGTGTCAGAAATCACAACACATGTAGAGCTTTCAAGACAAGAGAGATGCTGATGTACTCTTGTCCTGATTTCACTGTTCATTTTCCCTCATAGCCCCAGTGCATCTCTCCCTGAACATCAGCTGGGTCCTACAGGCTCTGTCTTCTTATATTACAGTTAATCACTATTTTATCCATTTTTTCCTATCTCCTGATACTTTCTTGTGCAAATGTGCCACCTGTATTTCCTTTAACTTCTTTTTTCAGATTTGGTCATTCTGTTTTATGTGTATGCGTGTTTGGCCTGTGTGTGTGTGTGTGTGTGTGTGTGTGTGTGTGTGTGTACAACACATTGGTGCCTGGTGCCTAGGGAGGTCAGAAAAATACACCAGAAACACTCAAACTGGAGTTATTTGAAGGTTGTCTTCAGATAGTGTAGTACCCTGTGGAGATCAGAAGAGGGTGTTGGAACCTCTGAAGCTAGGAGTGATAAGTCATTGTGAGCTGCATGATGTGGGTGCTGGGAATCGAACTCAGGTCCTCTGTAAGAGCCGTTTGTGTATTTCCTTCTACACACAGCCGTAGGTTTATCTGACAGTGTTGATGTCATACTTTCAATTATAATTTGAGTTTAAATCACTTTGGCTTTGGCTGGATGTCTTACTTGGCCTGTTGGTGACTTTAAATTGTTTCAAGTGCATGGAGATTTTGACGTATGTCTGATATTAATTTCTATTTTAATTTCATGTTGTTCCAAGACACGTTTTCCATGTCTAGACCCTTTTAGATTCTTTGAGAAATGTTTTACAGCTCTGAATTCCCACCCACGCAAACACTCTGTGCACTGGAAGTGTGTTCTGCTAACCTTGGTGTGCTTTAACGATACCTGTGCGATGTTGCTCACAACGGCTGTCATCTGCCCTTTGTCTATAGCAGCTTCTATCTGTTCTAATGATAACTGATAGATGAGAATTGAATGTGTGGTATGTCACTGGATTTTTAAGGTCCCTCCAAGCAGTTTTCAGTTTTTGCTTCATGAACTGTTAAACTTTCCTGCATGAATAAATACTTAGGATTTATATGTTCTTGATGAAGTGACTCTGTTACGATAGAATCCAATTAACCTCTGAAGACTCTGCTCCATTATCTGCACTGCACAATACATTTAACATGCAACTTTTCCTTCCTTGGTGTTGGTTTGACAGTAATGTATCTTGGTGTAGCTCTGGTTGCAGCATGTCTTGATATGAGCATTACTGTAGTGTGTCTTGGTGAGTCTGAAAAAACTATATTTACAGCTTGCTCACCATTTTGTATATGGGGGTGTTGATGGTTGACATCAAATTTGAAAATTTTTGAGCATTCTTTCCTTAAATATCTTATCACATACCTTTTCATTCACCGCATCTACTTTCTAATCATATGCATGCTAACATGTCAATGCAGTCTCATTATTCTCTGAGGGTGAGAGAGTTTTCCTTATTAGCAAATTATGAATGTGTCAAGTAATGACAAGTCCTGTAACCTGGACATTGACAGACGGGTCCAAACTGAGAAATTCCTGATTAATTGTTATTTAAAGGGTTTGCTCTGACAAAATTGATCAGAATTGTTTTAAGAGCACTCTATTTCTGGTGGAAACTTTTCTTAACTCTGTGTAGAATGATGCTTCTGTGAACTAAGTCACCTAAGAGTTTATCTGTATGTTAAGATGTTGTTTCGTGATTAGCATACATTCCTTCTAGCCTCATGTTTTATTAAATAGAGTTCATTCTCCATGTTATAGCTGCTGTTCGTATATGTCATTTTCAGGTCCTCTTCGGTGAAAAAGATGTATTTTCCAGTTCAGATGCTAAATATTTTGTGGAATTTTTGTGTCAGCGTGAGACTGCTGGAGCAGCATGCAATGATGTACTCACTTTGCTATTTGGGTATGACCCCAAAAATTTAAATGAGGTATGTGTGAATTTTGCTTTCAAATCAATATTTTGTGTTGCCCCTATCTTATTGATAGGTGAGCATTAAAACTAAAAACTATTTATTTAAATAATATGGAATATATTTAAATGTTTTTCTTTTTATTGAAAATAGATTTTAATATAATATATTCTGATAATAGATTTCTCTTTCTCAACTCCTTCCAGGTCCACACCCACCCAAATCTAAAACCTTAAAAATAGAATATTTTAAGATACATGTATTTCATGTGATACAGTGTGACGTAATTTGCATATGATATATAAAGTTACAAATAGGGCTATGTCAAAAATTCCATCTACTTCATATAAGAACAAATATCTGAATATCATGTACACATGATAATTTTATTCAAACTTCCTCATTTCAAATAAAACTTGTATTAATAATTATTCATCACTCATTTTAAGACTTCTTTCCAGAAAAATATTAAACATGTTATGAAACATGAAAATGTTCACACTTTAAGTTAATTCAGGAAAGATTTGAGTCATGAAAGTGACACAGTGTTAGAATACAATTTTAAGCTTTCATGTTCTTAGAAAGACACTCATTGTGTTTTCCTGTCTCCCAGAGTCGTTTGGATGTGTATGCGGGACAGGCTCCTGCAGGAACTTCAGTTCAAACCCTGCTTCATTATGCTCAGGTAAAATTTTTCTGTTTTCTTTGTTTTCCTGTTTAAGATCTCCTCCAAGGATACTTAAAAATTCTCTGTTTTAGCAATCAATATATTGCAGTTGTTTTCAGAGAGTAATAAATTTTTAATCTTTCAATCTGTAACATTTCTATGAAAATTAGAAATTTAGTATAAATATATTTTATGTAAAATTAACATCAGTGTCAGCAGGCTTCAGGGGTTGGTGGAAGATAAGGTCTTTAGGTGCCCACAGGCACAAGCATCAAACTGAAAATTTTTCCTCTCATTACAGTAACGAAAAGTCCCCTGTTAGGCAACAAAGACATTCAAACTGATCCCTACAGTGTATAGCCACTAATTAGTTTTTCTTTTTCATTTTGAGATATTTAAATTTAAATTTTATGAGGAAGATATTTTAGATTTGCTTATACATGCTGCCATGAATGTTTGGTTTCATTAACATGGAACCAAATCTAATCTTTAGAGTAATAGTCACATTCTGAGAGATGGCTCATCCAGTAACATTTGACTGAAGGAATCTGTTTATCATGGCTCCACAGTTCTAGAATTTGAACTTTGTGAAGCAGTCTGTGTGTACATGTGTGAAGATTGGACTGCTATGAAAACTTTATTCCTTCTTATCATTTTTTTTGCAAATCCAAAACAATTCATTTGTCAACACACATCTGTGATTTTTTTTTGATGAAAGCTTTTTGGAGTCATTGAAAATACTTTATACAAAGTATAAATATATAAATATAAATATACAAATACATAAATATAAAACATATAAACATATTATAAATATATAATTTATATAAATATATAAGTTATAAATACAATCATAAATTATAAATAATTATAAATTATGAATATAACTATAAATTATATAAGTCATAAATATATTAATATATTATAAATATATAAATACACAAAGTATACATAAATGATAAGGATTTTAATTGTATATCAATTTTGAATGCAAATATCATTTTTGAAATATATTTTATGTGAACTGAATGTTATAAGAACAAAAGTCTTTATATAGCTAGGAATTTAATATTATATGCATTTTTAATTTAGGTTCAAATAATTTTAGACATTCGGATATTTTCACATTGTGTATGTGTTCATACACATTTGTGTGTATATGGTCCTGTGTTTGCTGGTGCATATGAGTATGCCTGCATTTGTAAGATAGAAGAAAATGGTATGTTTTATTTTTAGGCACTGATCACCTTATATCTGATAGGCTGTGTTGTGAGACATTTGATTACACTGTGTAAAGATATGTCTCTGTGAATGGTTTAATAATAAACTAAATGGCCAACACCTTGGCAGGAGGGATAGGCAGGCTTCTGGACAAAGAGAACTCTGGGAAGAAGAAAGAGGGAGTCACCAGTTGGGCACAGAGGAAGCAGGACAAGCAGGAGAGATAAAAGCCACAAGACATATGGCAGCGTATGGATTGGTAGAAATGGGTTAGTTTAAGTTATGAGAACTAGTTACATACAACCCTAAGCTAAGGCTGAACGTTCATAATTAATAAGGTCTCCATGTTGTTATTTGGGAGCTGACTGGCAGGACAGAGAAAGACTCATTGCAACACTCATATTTCGTTTGTTCAGAACTTGCATAGGAACCCAGTCTGCCTGGCTAAAGGAACTAAGCATTCTGTCTATTACAAATACACACCATTGTGCCCTACTTTATAGACTCGGGATGGAGGGTTGAATTTAGGCCCTGGTGTTTCCAAGACAATCATTTCACTGACTTTGATATCTCCCCATCCCCAAATAGTTCCTCATTAATAATGATTTACCAGTTGAATTGCACTTTATCTCACTGATTAAATTTAATTAAACTTTATATTATAGTAACTTTGCTTTTAAAAAGTAACTGGGGCTGGAGAGATGGCTCAATGGTTAAGAGCATTGCCTGCTCTTCCAAAGGTCCTGAGTTCAATTCCCAGCAACCACATGGTGGCTCACAACCATCTGTAATGAGGTGCCTTCTTCTGGCCTACTGAATAGTGTATACATAATAAATAAATAAATATTTAAAAAAAAAATAAAATAAAAAATAAAAAGTAACTGAACAATAGTCATCCCTTTTCAAATTATAATAATAGTTTGATTTTCATTTTTTCAGGGTTATACTACATATAACATTGAACTACCACAATTTAAATATTACTAGACCATATGAAATACACTTTATTCACTGATTTTCTCAATCATTTTAGTCTGTGTTTGTCTGATATGAAATATCTGCATACATACTTTCATCTCCATTAATCCAGGATCACAAGGTTACTGTCCATTTCGATGGCCCCATTGAATCTGAATCAATTGTCATACAACAAAAGGAATTAATAAAGTTCTACCATCTCCAGTTCATTCTTTCTTTTGGAGGACTTTGTTAATTGTCTGTCTGTTATTCAGGGAGTGAGAACAGGCGTATTCCAAGCTTATGACTGGGGAAGTCCATTTCTGAATATGCTGCACTACAATCAGGTGAGATTCCTCTTAGAAAGTATAACCTCTCCTACCTTTGAAAAGTGTATGAAAGAATTAGATAAATGAGATATGTTTAGAGTTCCCAGGACCTTGGTAGATGTAGACCATAGAATGGCTTCAAAATTAGAAAAACACTTCTTTGTATAATATTAATGCAATATTATAGTGACTATTTTCAAATATCTTGTCATTTAAACTTCATACTTTTTTGAAATATTAGTCATTACTGACACCTTAATTTTACCTAATGTAAACAACCTAAGATTCTGAAAGAGAAATTCTGTTTTGAAAATCATATAGTTTATATGACTTAACGGTTGGCCATTGGTCTATTCGTATCTGACAAGGCTGAGATTTTACAACTTACTCTATAGTCATAAATTGATAATTACCATTTTTATTTAATAAAAAAGAGTCAACTTACTATCCACAAAGTAATATGCCATTAACCAAAGCATGACTGTTCTTCATTTCCTTTAGCGCACGCCCCCACCTTATAAGGTAAACGACATGAAGGTTCCAACGGCCATGTGGAGTGGTGGAAAAGATATTCTGGCTGATCCAATAGATGTTAGACATTTAGAAGCCAATATCTCCAATCTCATTTACTATAAGAAGATTGCTGACTATAATCATATGGATTTTGTGATAGGTTTAAATGCCCGCGATAAAGTTTTTGATGAAATTGTTGCATTCATCAATGAAGATCTATCAAGTTGAAGTTTATTTAGGTTTTTGCATATTTTTTTGCTTCTTTTGAGGGTCTATTGCTTTTCATGGTGTAAAGAATTCCTTGATTTCTCTTTTTGCTAATCAGCTTCTGTTTGTGTATCATTGAATCACTTTGCTAAATTACGCGCATTTGTCCTGGAAGTGAAAGCAGTAATAAAATGCTTACTTCATCTTATGAGCTCTTTCTGTTTTATGGATGTTTTTACATTACTAAGAAGAGGATTTTTTTCAATATAATTGTTTATTTAATTATATGTTTCTCTGTGTGCCTGAGTATATGTGTGTGTATCATAAGAGACCAGGAGCCCACAGAGGTCAGAAGAGGCATGAATCCCTTAGAACTGGAGTCATGGATAATTACATGCAAAGCCACTATGTAGCTGTCTGGAATTGAATATTGGTCCTCTACAAGATTTGAGCAAGCTATAGTTTTCTGAATACGATACAATAAATTATGAAATCATAGCAGAAAATATATGAGGAAGGTAACAACTCAGTCAATACATAAGGAATGTGCTGAACACACATTTTAAATGAACAAGTAATGATTATTACTTACACGAAAACTATTCATAATCCTTCCCCGTGATATAAGTGAAAATCAGAACTTCATTAAGATTCCAATTTATCCCTTTAGAATGATTATCATTAAGAATAAAAACAAAGCAAATAAAAAGAAAAGGGAAGGTTACATTATACACTGTGGGAATACAAATTAATCCAACCACTATTAAGTGAGTATGGAAGTTCCTTTAAAACTAAAATTAGAACTATCAGATTATATGGCTATTGTTGTGGGAAGAGGCTGCTTGTTCATCCTGGCCACCCAAGCCACGAAATAATCACCCAGAGAATCATATTATTTGCAATACTGTTTGGCCATGTTTCTGGCTAAACTCATATCCTAAACTAACCCATCTCTATTACTGGCTAAAATTCCCGTCATCTATCTCTAGCAGCTCCATGGCTTCTCTCTGACTCCACCCTTCTTCCTTCCAACATTCCATTTAGCTTTCCCCACCTAGCTCTGTTCCCCTATAGCTCTGCTATAGGCCCAAAGCAGTTCTTTTATTCATTAATGGTAGTCACAATATACGGAGGGAAATCTCACATCACCTCCTCTTTTCTGTTTAATAAAAAGGAAGACTTTAATTTTAACATAGTAAAATTACTTATAACAAAACAGGTATCAAGTAGGAATTGCAGTTATAATATTTATATCTACTTTATCTTTTATCATAATTAGCAAATTAATTAAAAAGCTTAAAAAAAGTTTTCCTTGCTTAGCTCTGTTCCCCTATAGCTTTGCTATAGGCCCAAAGCAATTCCTTTATTCATTAATGGTAATCACAGCATATGGAGGGAAATCTCACATCAAGCTATTTCATCTCTAAGGATATATTAAAAAGGACTAAAGAAAACAGAGAAATGTAAATACCCATGTTTGTCATGCTACTCTTCAGCCTCAACACCGAATTAATTAGTAAAATGCTTTGATTGTGCGTGTGTGCATCTGTGTTTGTATGTAGATAGACATAAGTAAATGCCATCTCATTCCGCTACAAAGAATAAAATTGTATCATTTTCAAGAAATTGGTTGGAACTGAAGAGCATCATATTCAACAAATGATTCCTATTAAGAGAGGCAAACTTTCACGTGGTTTTTGTTTAATTAAAAAAAACAAAAAAGTAAAATTGGTTATGGAGAAGATTGTAATTAATACAGGATCAGGGAGATAAAGAAGATTAAAGGAAGATGGACATTATCAAAGCATGCTGCATTCTTCTATAAAAATGTAAATATGAAATTTTAATTATAAATTGTTTAATCTAAAAAATTTTATGATATATTAGAAAAGAAATAAGTATCAATTTTGCCTTTACATTTTAACCTTTTGACTCTTTATTCCTCAATGACAGTATGTAATGACTGCTGGCACATCAGACAGTTGAGTTCCTTCTTCTCACAGGAAGTTTTGAGTGTTTTTGAGCACCTCCATGAGGAAGCCTTGCAGTTAGTGCAAAGATGCTAGAAAATCAACAGCCACCACAACTCCCCAAATCAGAAGCCAACTCTGCGTTTGTGCCTCCTATTTCTAATGAATGAAACTCTCAGACAACAGGTGAGTACAAAAAGGAAGCAAGTTATGAGCCGCTGTGGGAAGAGGTGCCCTTGAGAACTGTACAAAGGTGCTGTGACTCAACTCAGTCATCACCAAGGGTGGATTGCCCATCTCTGCCTTTTTGTTTCAAGTTTTAAAAAATGCTTTATCAAGTGGAGAAGAACACTGCAGAGAGAGTAGTCATAAACTGCCTATCTGGTCACTCTAGGTTGCTTGTCTCCATGGGTTTTCGAGGAAGCAGGAAGTCATTAGCTGCAGTCCTCCCGTGGTTGTCACCACATAGCAATATGATAACTCAATGGTATGAACCTGTAAGGACACTGGGGTCCCATTCCAGCTGCCTGGTGGGAGCAGGGTCTAACTAGCTTCTGACCTCAACATCAGCTGCTACTGCAGAGAGACCCAACGTGAGTCTTGCTGACTCATGGAAAAGAAGATTTCACCAAAACCTAAATGCACAAATGCCAAACCAAGATTTCTATAAACAAGATGAATGGGCTCTTTGACACACACACACACACACACACACACACACACACACACACACACACACACACAAACCCCAAAACCTGAGATTTCACAATAACAGGCATTTAAAATATCCCTGAATTCTCTCAAGATAAAATGAAAACAGGGGCACAAACCACAACAAACCAAGGACAAGACAGAGAGTACCAGAAAAAGTTCCAAATATAAAATTGAATAATTGAAGAGTCCTCACTTATATCAGGCTCCCAAGAACAATTCATTCGCTACTAATTCATAAGAATGGGTTTACAGGGATCTAACACCAAAGCCACAGGGAGTCAGTAGAACTCAGCTAACTATGCCTATGCCTCCTTCTTGGCTAGAAACCCAACCTGTTACTAAGTACTTAGGTCCATGACACTGTTACCTTAATTTCTTCTTTAAGAATAGAGAGTGATGTTGAGTGGAGAGGTATCTTAGCACCTGTGGCTCTTACAGAGAACCCAGTTTAGGTTTTCCTGCATCCACATTATGGTTCATAACCATCCATAACTCCAATTCCTGGGAATTCAATGCCTTTTTCTGAACTACAAGAGTAGCATATGTGTGTGGGATATAAAAATACTTACAGGCAAAACAGTCATGCATATAAAATAAATAAAATAAAAAATTAGAAACGGGTATAAAAACGGATTTAAATTTGTAAAACTGATCATGGTCTAAAACTTCAGTCTGGTAACAGATCTGACTGCCTGGATTTTTGTTTGATTGTTTTTGTTTTTTATAGTGTATACTGCTTTGGGTGTTTTGTTATAAAAATAGTTTTTAAATGTTCTAGTTTTTTCTCATAGTGAAAATACAAAGGAAGAATATATACAATAATGTCTCAAGACCTGACAGCTCCATCAGTCAATGATAACTACGCTGCTCAATGGTTCCTTGGGTTTCCTTTTAGAAATATTCCACCCGTGACCCTGAACACTTACTCACAGTATTAAAGTGGAAATTAAGCCAACTACCCTCATTGTTTTGAACTGGATGTATATACTTAAAAACATTACGGAGCTTCCTATCAGTTCATTGCTATCAATGTAGTTTGATAACACTGTGATTATTTGAGTTTATTACTGAATCTTTTACAGATGGACATTTTTTTCACAGCTTGCTACTATTACAAACAATTTTGCAACAATCATTTTATTCTTCCAGAGACTGTATGTCTGTCCTTAAGTTCATGCACTGAAATCTAAGCTCCAGCGTGACAGTATTGGGGGTGCAATTGTAGGGGGCACACTGGGACTGGAGAGATGGCTCAGCGGTTAAGAACACTGGCTGTTCTCCCAGAGGACACAGGTTTGACTCCCATCATCCACATGGCAACCAACAATTCTAAGAAAACTCTAAGTCAAGTTCTATGGGATCCAAGGTCCTCTTCTGGCCTTGAAGGGCATCAGGCACAAGATACATGGACAGACAGATATGCAGACAAACACCCCAACACATAAATGAAAAATAAAGAAAGTTAAGAGTAAAAACATTAGAAGCATTTTAGACAAAGCCGACTGACTTCCTTACACTGAAGTTTCCAAGTTTCCATCTCCACATTCTTTCTAGTCCTAGTCCTCTTATTAACATATCCGTGTGTTTATTTTAGTTTTAGTTCAGCAGGGAAGTCAGGCCAGTAACTCAAACAGGGCAAGAAACTGGAGGCAGAAGCTGAAGCATGGATCATTGAGTAGTGTTGTTTACTGGTTTGCTCATTATGGCTTGCTCAGCCTACTTTCTTTTTTTTTTCAAAGTTTATTAAATTATAGAAGTTTCCATTTCCGTCCCTCCTCCCAACACCCTCCCACTCCCCCCCACTGCTTCTCCTCCTCTCTCTCCATCCCTAAGAGCAGTCACGGTTTCCTGCCCTGTGGGAAGTTCAAGTTCCTCCCCACTCCCTCCAGGTCCAGGAAGGTGAGTATCCAAACAGACTGGATCCCAAAAATCCAGTATATGCAGAGGAAACAAGTCCCAGTGTCATTGTCAATGACAATCTTATATAATAACGGAACGTCTGGAGGTATAACCATCCCTGACTTCAAACTCTATTACACAGCTACAGTATTGAAAACAGCTTGGTACTGGCATAAGAACAGAGAAGTCGATCTATGGAATCGAATAGAAGACCCAGATATTAACCCACAAACCTATGAACACTTGATTTTCGACAAGAGGGCTAAAGGTATGCAATGGAAGAAGGAAAGTATCTTTAACAAATGGTGCTGGCATAACTGGATGTCAACCTGTAGAAGAATGAAAGAAGATCCATATCTATCACCATGCACAAAAATCAAGTCCAAATGGATTAAAGACCTCAACATTAATCTGACCACTTTGAATCAACCTGGTTTC